GAGCTTTCTCCGCAGGGTGGCCGGGCGCACCCTTAGAGATAGGGTGAGGAGCTCGGTCACCCGGGAGGAGCTCAGAGTAGAACCGCTGCTCCTCCACATCGAGAGGAGCCAGCTGAGGTGGCTCGGGCATGTGTTTCAGATGCCTCCTGGGCGCCTTCCTAGGAAGGTGTTCCGGGCATGTCCCACCGGGAGGAGGCCCCGGGGAAGACCCAGGACACGCTGGAGGGACTATGTCTCTCGGCTGGCCTGGGAACGCCGCGGCATTCCCCCGGAGGAGCTGGAGGAAGTGTCTGGAGAGAGGGAAGTCTGGGCATCTTTGCTTAGACTGCTGCCCCCGTGACCCGGTTCCGGATAGGCAGAGGAAAATGGATGGATGGATGGATGGACTTTGTAAATTGTATGTAATATTAAAAAAACCAAATAGTACCAATTAACCAGTTTCAACAACAATAATAAAATGTGAACATATAAAAATATAAAACATGTCTACAGACAAACATACTACATACATAAAATCAGGTTTGGAATAACGGTGAAATAATTCTTTGGTTTAATTAGACCTTAGCTGTTCTTTCAAGGGAAGTCACAAAAAATTATTTTGCAAAAGACTGAGCCCTAAAATAAAGTGTTTCTGAAGCCTGTACTTCAACTTTCAACAATGACACAAAGATAATAAACAATTTATTTTTGTATTTACACAACAAACAATTAATTCTTACAGTGAAACATTCATTGTTTTCTGTTCAGTTTGTTTGTGGTTTAACGTTTTCTCCTAAAGGTTATTAATTCAAACTCTCACGTTAAATGACATCAGAGGCAAATGTCCAATCAGACAGGAGGAGGAGGGGTTTAACGCCAGCTCATTGTTTCTGGCATCTGTCATTCATCAGTCAGGGAATGCGTTTATATGGACACAAGTATCCTGGTTATGGTCTGGTTTTTTAAGTATCCTGCTTTTGTGTTTGTATGTGTAAACGTTATACTCCAATTTCAGAAACTAGGATAAGCTCTTATCCTGGGTTTTGAGAAACCCAAACATGGTAGGTGGAGTGCACTGAAAGAAACTGGGATACTGATGCGTGTATGCATTGTATCCAGGTTTCTGAACATTCCAGACTATCTGTGCTGCAGCACAGGAGTGACTTGAGATAAACACAAAGTGTTGAGAGCAAAGGCATCTCACAGTTGGAGCAGCATAGAGCCGGAATTTTGACTTTCAGTAAATGTACTTGGAATTTGGATGGAGAAAGCATGGAAATGCTGAACTCTTCAAATAAGTAATTTACGAGCTGCAGGATGCAGGTTTCCCTAAATGTACTGTGGAACAAGTCAGATCAGGTGGAAAATCCTGAAGAAAAATTACTATGTGGCAAAACATAAAAACAACAAAAGGGGGTCCTGTAAAATGTTATTTTTCAAAATACTGGCCGACATGCACCGTCCACTTTCTACTGTAGAGGAGTGAGGAGTTGGCATCTGCTTCCCTGTGCAATGGATACTGAGCCGAGCCGGCTGCACCAGCTCCAGGCAGCCAAAAGATGCTTAACGGTTATTAATGTTAGCATGAAGGCTGACATAGCCTCAGCCTTTTTCATTATGAAATACAGTTTTAACAAGGGTTTTCCTAATAGGCTATTCATATAGATGGACAGTGAAGATGACACATCAGTAACCAGGATAGTTCTTATCATGTATACAAGGACATGCATGACCAGATATCTCTACTCCATGTAAACACCAAATGCCGAGTATTCTCACAACCGCGGTACCAGTGACGTGCGGTCAGGGAAGGCAGGTGAGGCAGAGCCTCCCCTGTCAATCTTGAAAAGAAAAAAAATTTTTCAATAAAGAATAGCAGAATTTCCGTATGTCCCGTTCAAATACATGGAGGAGATGCGCGATGAGGCAGCACTTTGCTGTGCCTCTCGGTGGATCGTGTAATCCTCACAAACTGTATGCGATGCAAATAGTGTGTCGCTGTCCCTCTATATATCGCAAATAAAATGCTTTCAAACACTCTGATTATATGCTCTGCCTTGCCATAATCTGAATAATGTATAAAATGTAGTTCTGTAACGTGTTTAGGCTCAAAGATTAACCATAAAACCCAGTAAAAAAGTTACTCGGTGAGGCAAACAGTACGCCTGCCTCAAGGCAGAGGGCGCTAGTGAGCCCACAGATTCTTGCGCTACCTACAATCTTCGTCGTGCTTGTTTATATTTCCTTTACAATCCGCCTTATCAAAATGGAAGATTACATTTCCAAGCTGAGACAATTCGCAAATCTAGACTTTCAATCAAAACATTTTTGACAGTCTGGACATTTTTGTCCAGAAGGATCTTCTTTATTGAAAATATTTGTTTTAATATTGATTCTAATGGTAAAAGGGTTTGTAATACATACCAGCTGACAAATGGATTCGTGTACAAGTAAAGGTAAGACCATAAACTTTTATTATTTCTAGTTAGAAATAAACTCAACTGAAATCAATTTTAACCTCAAATTAAATATGGGTTGCGTTTGTGTGAAGAATGCTGATATGAGATATAAAACACAACGCATTGTCTGTTAACAGACAATTTGTTAATGGTTCATTTGTATTTGTAAATCTGACTAAAAGAGTCAGTGCCTCACCAGCTGTCAACCTCACCGGACGTCACTGCGCGATACTCATGTTCATGTAAATGCACTCAGTCAGGTGTCATTCGGTCTGTCACAAATGCACTGAAATACAATTGATCAAGTCCTGAAATGTTGTTTTCCTTTTTATTTTTCCTTCCTCCTCTGCCTCATTATCGATCCGTCTCTCCCCCCTCAGTTGTCGTTCTCTCAGTTGGTGGTGCTGTCCTCTCCCAGTAGCCAGTACGTCCTCATGCGTCCTTTCCCCTTCACCTCAATCTCTCCTCTGAGCTGCAGCGAGAAGCAGCTGAAGTCCCGCAGAACTTGGCAAGTCGCTTCGGACACGTGAATCTTCAGCGCTGCAGAGAAACAACATCAGTACACAGCATCTCATTTTTATATCTGCAGTGTCTGTGTTACCTTCTCCGTTGGACTCCATGCGGGATGCTGTGTTGACTGTGTCTCCAAACAGACAGTACCTGGGCATCTTCAGCCCGACCACACCTGCACACACCGGACCTGAGCACACACATACAACCAGCAGTTACTGTGTTGTATGTTTAACCTATCACAGACACAGAGGCACTGACACACACTGACCACTGTGTATGCCGATGCGGAGCCGCAGCTGCTGGTTGGGTCGGTGACGGATCCGGAAGCTCTTGACGGCATCGAGCAGAGCGAGCGACATGCGGGCCACCTCCCTGCCGTGGAGTTTACCGTTCCTGACCGGCAGACCCGACACCACCATGTAGGCGTCACCAATGGTCTCCACCTGGGGGAGGCTCTCATTAGACTTAAGGTTTCCTTTTCACTTTCTATATGTAGATCAATGTCTGGAAATGCTTCTCTGGAAATCTGGGAGGAGTGTTAGTCAGTAGGTATGAGATTGTCATGGTATGATAACCATCTCAGAAAATATCATGGTTTCACGGTATTACATGCTTGCTGTTATTATGATCAGCTACCATGACTCTCAAAGAAATGACAACAAAAGGGTCTTTTGCAGACTGAGACTGTAAAAAGTACATGACGTATTTCCTGGTAATAAACTCCTCAGATGTTTACACCAGAGGTCCAGAAGTGTGAAATGCAGAACCTCTAGACTGAAAAACTCTTTCTTTCCCTCTGCCATCAGACTCCTAAACAGCTGAGGAGTTTATTACCAGGAAATACGTCATGTACTGACAACTGGTACTGTTTACATTCTGTTTGCACATATATAATTGCACATTGACTGTTGACTGCTGCACATAACAGCTCCCATGCAGCATACATTCTCTTATTATATTCTTATATATTTTATTATATCTCTTCATTTGCTGCTTTAAAGTGCCTTAGATTTAGTGTTACTTATTCATCTATTTTATATTTCACTTGTATTGTATGGTATTCATGTGGACGGCAAAGTAAGAATTTCATTGTACAGGGAAACACGTTTCCTAACTGTGCATATGACAAATAAACACTTACAAGTATTAATAATCAAAGTATTAACAGTAGAAGCAGGCTACCCAATGCTGAAAAATGTTAACTCTCTCGCCTATACTGTTATTTTGGTTATTTTTTCCATTAATCGACTGCACCATGGTATGAAAATGAATAGTTATCATACCATACAGGTTTCAAGTTACAGATAGGGGGGACACCCTGACCTGCAAGAAGAGACGGTGCTCTCCAAGGTGTTCATTTCTGAGATATCCAAACTAATCCTGTGCTGCTGACCTAGATTTCTTTTCTGGTGGATGTAGTTTGGTGATTTCAGCCTTCTTCTCTCTGCCATTTGTGCACTGCATGTGTGCGTGTGGTGCCCGTTTTGGAGGCAGTCAGGAAAGAAAGGCGCACACGCACTGCATTTTTTCTTTTAATACTGGTGATAAGTAAATGCGTATGGTATGTTAACTATTCATTTTCATACCATGGTGCACCGTGAAACTGGTGTACCGCTGCGACCCTATAATCAGAATGTTGATGATTTGTATATTTGATAAAACCTGTCCAACATGACACATAGGCCGCCGCTGTCATGATGGAGAGCTGAAGGCAGAACTCGACTTTACTGCTTGGACCAAACACTTTTTTCTAAAGACTCACTAACGTTTAGCTAGCTTAGCTTAGCACAAAGACTGAAGGCAGGGCAGACTGTGGAGAGGAGTCTGCTACCTTGTAAACATCAAAGTTGTCGATGATGGCATCAAAACAGGTGTAGAGGTCGTTCAACAAGGTCACAACCTGGAGAAAAACAGATGTTCATCATTGCAGAACACTTTCACAGACGTTTAATCCATATGTGCTCTAGTAATGACGAGTGACACCACTGGATGGCACTGTGGTTACACATGTGATGTTCTCCCACAGTTTATTTGTTTGGCTTTTCACTGGGTTCTGCTGAGTTCTACTGACCTGTAGAGGGGTGCTCTCGGCAGACAAGGCAGTGAAGCCAACAATATCGCTAAAGTAGATGGTGACAGAGTCGAAAGCTTCAGCCTGAACCGTCTCACCTCGTTTCAACTGCTCCGCTACTGAACTGAAACGCATGAGGTAAAACGACTCAACGTAAGTTCACAGTGCTGTATTTAATGCAGTACCACTGCAGTATATTTACTGTGGTAGTATCTGGTAGAGCAGAGCCTCGGCCTTGCGTTTTTCCTCATGGTAAGCCTGTGTCCTCTCCTCCACCAGCTCCTCCAGGTTGTTGGCATACTGCTCCATACGAGACAGGAGGTTGTCCAGGATGTTCGACCCATAGCCTCTGAGGAGATCGACGGGAGGACAGACAGACAGACAGACAAGTGAATGTTGAGTTTCAGTTCCTGAAGTGCCACCAGAGCCCACTACCCCACCACCAGTGACTATCACAAACTATAGTAAGTAAGTAAGTAAGTAAGTAAAATTTTATTTATATAGCACCTTTCACAGACAGAGTCACAAGGTGCTTTACAAAGTCAAAAGATAAAAAGAGATAAATAATAAACATAAAAAGAATAAACCCAATCAATTAAAAAAACTGTCTAAATAAATGTGACTTATATAGCACCTTTCACAGACAGTCACAAGGTGCTTTACAAAGTCAAAGGATAAAAAGAGATAAAAATAAACATAAAAAGTACTCACAAAATAAAATGAATAAACCCAATCAATTAAAAAACTGTCTAAATAAATGTGACTTCAGCTGTTTTTTAAAATTATCAACAGATTTGGCCATACGTAGAGTCAAGGGCAGGGCATTCCACAGTCTTGGAGCTACGACCTGAAAAGACAGGTCCCCCCGAGACTTAAAATGA